GGCACAAGTTGTCATTCACTGTAATTGTAAATCATTTGTCAGAATTGTTATGAATACATTAAAACCGCTCGTTAAAACTTTATATAAAGTCAATTCTTCGCAAACTTTACATCTTATTATATTTGTTTTGGTACAATAATTATATGAAAAAGAGGTTACACAAATCAAATTTTAAACATTGATACCTAAAAATTCAACAAACGAAATAATATGAAAAGCGATAATGTATAGCTTCGCGAGATTTGTACCTTCTATTCAACTACTGATTACTGATTATATACATACAATTACTGACAATTCTACCGCATATAAATCACATACGCGTAATATACGTCGTAAAATTGCAAATCTCGAAAATCGATCGATAATACAGTAACAATATTATAATTTTCATACCAATAAATCGGTAACAATCAGGTTAGACAAAGTAAAAGACACAAAAGTTCTGCAACTTGTAAGTCATTTTTCATTGATTGATTTGTATTTAGAGATTTTTTTCTCAAATTGAATTACAACAAATAACTACATCTAGAACTTTTCTAATTTAATGGCAACTAGGGACTTTACTATTATTATTATTATTATTATCATCATTATTATTATTATTATTATTATTATTATGCATTTATATTTTTATTTTGCATAATGAAATTAAACGATGATCAATATTTTGAATTACAAATATTACATCATTATACAAGCTTATTAAATTAAATATATATTAAAAAATGAATTATAAGATATTATGAGAGAAATTAAAAAATTACTTATATATATGCGGTACATATATACATATGTATATATAATTTTATATATATAAAATTCGATTGAAATAAAATCTAATAGAAAAACAGACTAATTTTGCTTTGATATACACATATGTACATAAATGTACGTGTAAGTAGGTGGGTAGAATGCATTTATAAAAATAATGGCTGACGAGTAGTGTTATCACATATAAAAAGAAGTGATTATATGGATTTCACTTGTGTGATTCAAATCGAATAAAGTAACATTTTTTTATATATTAAAGTACGTAATAAATATGATACAAAATGTTACGAATTCAACCGATAATAATTAAATAATCGAGCAAGTTCATCAATTAATCTGAATTTCTTGCAAAATTCAGATCTGAAAAAAATTTACAATTATATGTATGGATATAAGAATGAAGAAAAAAGTTCATAGAAGAAAGATAATGTGTTGATCGTATGATCGTTTTATTTATCATACAACTTCTTATCAAACGATTCAATGAAGTCATATTGTTTAAAAGAGAAAGGATACTTTCGGTCACGATGCGACCTATACGATACATTTCGTGTGTTTTTCTTCGATTAATTTAAACTATTACCCTTTGTATTTTATTAAATTTTTCTATATATTATCGAAAACGTTTGACACAATGGTTCATATACCAAGTGCGTATACTTACAATTTTTGGGCGAAATCACCCACAGAAGTTGTTGAACTTACTTGTTTAATGCCAAATGGGGTCGTTATACCCTTGGAAACTAATCGCAATATTACTTTGGCCGAAATTAAAGAGGTAGGTTAAAAAAATATATAAAAATATAATTTATATATATA